GTTATTATGTTGACTTTGCAAGCTGTGGTTTTGCAATAGCTATCTTCCCCAACACTGCTGTGTAGTAAATTTAGCTCAAATGTAGTCCTCTGGCAAAAGGTTATTTTCCTGCTTGTCAAAACTGATGCACATAATTTCACAAAGGCAACAACTTCAGCTCAATTCACGTCACTCACAGACAAACAAATCTTTTACCCTAAATAGGCTGTTGAATTGCAATTAAGCTGCACAAAAGATCATATGCGGTGGACGTTTCATCAATAGGCAATTCCAGCCTCCTCTGCTGTTTTGATCTCGATAAGCCGCGAGCGCTCGGGAATTTTTCATTGAAACTTCTCATTAATGCAGCGTTTCTTCCTGACCTCTCGTCTTCAGCCCTCAGCCCTTTAACTGACAGCGGAGGGTAAATAAATAATTAAAGGGCATTTTGCCGCTGTCAGTGAGATTGCATATTGCACCGTTGACATTTTGAAAACAAATCTCGGATTCATGAGCTATCACTGTGAGGGATCGGCAGAGGCTATTAGTTCGACTGACAGAAATAGACGTGAGATCGTGAAATATCGTCCTGTAATCTCACTGATTTATGAGCGTGTGTTGCCGCTTCATCGAGAACCACCACAGATTTATTGCCACTCAGGTGGAATTATTAATGAAGCCCCTTTTGCCAAAGCTGACGATGCCGTCTGTGTCTGTGTAGAGGTTTATAGAGATGCTAACTAATCAAACTGAACTCAACACAAGCTTTTCAAATACTTTCGTCTTTGTTTAATCACTTTGTACTTCATTTGTATTCTTTTTAGGTTTTGCAAGCATCGCTAGGCCTATTGCTATTGTTCTTATTTGTCACATTTTATCACAGGGATTTGCACAAACCCCTAATACTAAGTATTAAACTTTGCAGCATAACTATTTCTGAATGAAGTCACGTGGCTAGTTAAGGAGACATGTAGGCTGCTATTTTTACTTTCCCTAAGTGCTTCTGTCTGGCAGATGATGAAAACAGACTTTCTAGCTATAGCTAACAACCTAAGAACAAAGAATTACAGAAAGCACCATTCAGATATTATTCAGTAAGTGTAAAATTCTAGTTTAGTTTATCTGAATGTTGCTTTTGTTTATTCAAATATGCTTCACTCGAATTACCTGTGCATCGACCAGGCCTGCGTCCCAATTCACATACACTATCTCACAGAAGTGAGTACACCCCTCACATTTTTCTAAATATTTTATTATATCTTTTCATGTGACAACACTGAAGAAATTACACTTTGCTACAATGTAAAGTAGTGAGTGTACAGCTTGTATAACAGTGTAAATTTGCTGTCCCCTCAAAATAACTCAACACACAGCCATTAATGTCTAAACTGCTGGCCACAAAAGTGAGTACACCCCTAAGTGAAAATGTCCAAATTGGGCCCAATTAGCCATTTTCTCTCCCCGGTGTCATGTGACTCATTAGTGTTACAAGGTCTCAGGTGTGAATAGGGAGCAGGTGTGTTAAATTTGGTGTTATCGCTCTCACTCTCTCATACTGGTCACTGGAAGTTCAACGTGGCACCTCATGGCAAAGAACTCTCTGAGGATCTGAAAAAAAGAATGTTGCTCTACATAAAGATGGCGTAGGCTATAAGAAAATTGCCAAGACACTGAAACTGAGCTGCAGCATGGTGGCCAAGACCAGACAGCGGTTTAACAGGACAGGTTCCACTCAGAACAGGCCTCGCCATGGTCGACCAAAGAAGTTGAGTGCACATGCTCAGCTTCATATCCAGAGGTTGTGTTTGGGAAATATACGTATGAGTGCTGCCAGCATTGCTGCAGCGGTTGAAGGGGTGGGGGGTCAGCCTGTCGGTGCTCAGACCATACGCCGCACACTGCATCAAATTGATCTGCATGGCTGTCGTCCCAAAAGAAAGCCTTTTCTAAAGATGATGCACAAGAAAGCCCGCAAACAGTTTGCTTGAAGACAAGCAGACTAAGGACATGAGGACACTTGGTCTGATGAGACCAAGGTCAACTTAAGATGGTTCAGATGGTGTCAAGTGTGTGTGGCGGCAACCAGGTGAAGAGTACAAAGACAAGTGTGTCTTGCCTACAGTCAAGCATGGTGGTGGGAGTGTCATGGTCTGGGGCTGCATGAGTGCTGCCGGCACTGGGGAGCTACAGTTCATTGAGGGAACCATGAATGCCAACGTGTACTGTGACATACTGAAGCAGAGCATGATCCCCTCCCTTCGGAGACTGGGCCGCAGGGCAGTATTCCAACATGATAACGACCCCAAACACACCTCTGATGACCACTGCCTTGCTAAAGAAGCTATGGGTAAAGTTGATGGATTGGCCAAGCATGTCTCCAGACCTAAACCCTATTGAGCATCTGTGGGGCATCCTCAAATGGAAGGTGGAGGAGCGCAAGGTCTCTAACATCCACCAGCTCTGTGATGTCGTCATGGAGGAGTGGAAGAGGACTCCAGTGGCAACCTGTGAAGCTCTGGTGAACTCCATGCCCAAGAGGGTTAAGGCAGTGCTGGAAAATAATGATGGCCACACAAAATATTGACACTTTGGGCCCAATTTGGACATTTTCACTTAAGGGTGTACTCACTTTTGTGGCCAGCGGTTTAGACATTAATGGCTGTGTGTTGAGTTATTTTGAGGGGACAGCAAATTTACACTGCTATACAAGCTGTACACTCACTACTTTACATTGTAGCAAAGTGTAATTTCTTCAGTGTTGTCACATGAAAAGATATAATAAAATATTTACAAAAATGTGTACCTCTACAGTGCACTATATATATATATATAAAAAAAACTTTTAAATGTTTTTGAACGAAGGCTGTTTTGCTCTCTCCAAGGCTGTGTTTATTTGATCATAAATACTGTAAAAACAGTCAGATTTTTTAAATATTGTTACAGTTTAAAATGACTGTTTTCTATTTGAATATGACAATGTAAAAATGAACAGCATTTGACAGGTAATGTTTAATAAAATAGATATTAAAAATTATAGCTGATATTAATTCTGGTTCATTTGTCACTGGAAATGCCAAGGATTTGGCTGTTAACATGGTTAGATGACGTAACTACACCATCTTGCTGCCAAAAAGCATCTTTTTCTATTTACGCCATTCAAGGCAAACCAATTGATATTCCTTTAGATGTTTTACCTGATTCTTATCAGATTAGGACAAGAAAAAAAAACATGTTTTAAGGCAAGACATGACATTTTAACAGGTGAATAATATGTTGAATAAAATATCACAATTCTTCACCAGCTGATTAATCACAGAATATTAAGACAATTGTTTTGCATTACAAGTTTTCTGAACTGGTATGTTTAAATACATAAATGAGGCATTATCTAATAAAAAATTCACTGATATGCATACATTTCCAGAACAGAAATCTAAACATTGGATTTTGTTTCTGTTTTCTGTGAGGTGGAAAACACATTGACGTCTGTCTTGTACCATTTCCATCTGAACATTGGATAAAGCCAGATTCAGAATTCTTGTTTTCTTTTGTTAACATATTAGAGTTTAAGAATTTTACAGAAAGGGTTTTTGATATCTCTTTTTATCACTCCGTGATTCAGAAAATGCTGTCAACAGCCAGAAAACATACAATTTCACCAGGTTTTTAGGAATAACATGCTATATAAATCATTGTCAATGATATATTAACAAACCCCTCAGTAAAAACATTCAGAATATTGATAGTAATAAAACTGTAAGTTTAGGTGTATGTAAGTGCTGCTGAAGTGGAGAAAGAAACTCACGGCCTTTAAAGATATTCAATTTCGCCTGTTTTTAGGGGGGAAAATGTTATATAAATCAGCATGAATGACATATTAACAAACCCCTCAGTAAAAATCTTTAGAATATAGACAGGAATAAAACTAAGTTTTGCCTGTTAGTGTTTTGCCTTAAGATTGAGTCTGAAAGTAATTGCTCACAGGGTGATACATATGAACACAAATACATATGAACATCAAACAAAGACAATGGCATTTGCAATGCTTTAACAAGATAGAAAACCTCTGTGACAGTCAGTGTATTGTATTGTGCAACTTACCCATTAAATAAGAATGGGAAAAACGCTAAAAATTAGCATCCAATTAGATGTTGTGCATGAGCCGGTGAGAATTTCAATTCGAAATGTTTATTGAAACACTTTTTTTTGGGCCAGAAACACAAGTATTTCCTTTATCAAAAACTAATAATATTGCATGACATATTCTTCTCAGTTGCTCAGTGTAAATTCTGTTAATACATTTTTTTTTTATATTACAACCTCTCAAAATGGCATTGCAAATTATAAACTACCCAAATGAACTGATGAATATAAAATTAAAGCAAACTTAAAAGGAATCAGTGTAGCCTGTCTTACAGAAAATGAAGAATTCAAATGTATTGAGTAAGAAAAGAATAACATTAAAAAATGCTTTTTTATGTACAGAAACAGTATGTGTGATGATTATGTCTAGTCGCTTATATGGCGTTATCAAATAAAAAATTGGTTTGCATTATCTTCCTGTTAACAGCAATGCTAAGTATGAGATGTTAAATAATAATTAGATAAATTATGTAAGTATTTGTCACGGCAATAGATGAACAAAAGGTCTCAGAAGTAAATTTTCCATGCAATTTCTCCAAAGACATTGAATTTTTAAACCAATCTTGACCTGAAAAAAAAACAAAAACTATTCGGCTCCACAGAAGCATATAAAATCACTTCATACAGTACACATCTTCAACAGTTTGTACATTATTGCCAAAAATCAATTTCTTTATGGACATTATCAATGGCATTTTACTTCTGGAACCCTACATCCACATCTGAATCTAAATATGCATGACTGCAGTGTTGATTTTGTATGTAATCATTTGTTAAAGTCTTGGTAAAACCAAAATGCCAGTGATATTTATGATGAAAATCATTAATGCTCAAGTTAAATTGTTAAAAGTACAATTTAAAAATCAATGTTGTTGATCTGTACGAGAAAAATCGGCTTTAAGAATGAACATACTGTACTGTGCAATAAGACAGTGTTACAAGTAAATTTAAATCATGATATATTTTAAAACCTATTCCAAGATTTTCACAGAGACATTATGACAAAAGCATCCCTTGTTTCAACAATCGTACATGTTGGACATGCTTATTGAGGTATCACCAGTTTTGGAAAGAAAGCTGGTACCGTCAATCCTCTCGGGTTGATTTTTGCAACGTGGTGCTGTTTTGGTCAAAGTAAGCGGTTTTGAGTCCGTTTCATTGTCGCGCTCATCTCTCTGAGTTCTTGTCTGAGATTTTGTTGGGTGCTGTAGGTTGTCCTGTGGGTTAGTTAAAGTTCAGTTAGAGGTATCCGAGTGAACGCTGTTTGCTCCCTCTATAGGAGACGTCACAGAAGATGGAGTGACAGCATCGTGCCAGCCACCATTACCCTGGAAAGAGACACGGAAAAGACCATTTGAGACGTTCAATTAGAGTCAGAATGGAAACATTAGCTGGTATCGATTTTTGAGAGCAAGATCAGATAAGATGCTCTGTTTGTATCCTTTTTATATAAACTGCTGAAACAAAATCCAGCTTAAACCAGTCTGGTCTGGTTAGGCTGGTCTGTTCATATGGTTTTAGAAGCTTTTTGGACATTTGTCAGCTGGGAAACCCCCTTAAACCAGGCAAAGCCAGCAAATCATCATATGCTGGATTAAGCCGTTTTTTTTTTGTTTGTCTTTGTATTTGTTTGTTTTTCCAGGGTGAAAATGGCTTCTTTTAGTTGTGGAAATAAATTAGATACATATTAATTCCATTTAATTTTTCTTCAGGTTACTTGTGTGTTAACATTCAGGTCATATTTGTTATTTCTAACTCAACGCAGCATAATCAACTATTATTAATTAGTTTACATATCCTGGTTGGAAAGAGTCCACTAGAACATTAGTTAGATTTCTACACTGAAAATGTGGGTTGCAAACAGAATACACAGCAAATGTCAAATTCTTAACTAGTATTTTGGTCTTATTTTATTTTTATTATTATTTTGTCTGGCTGACAGATTTTTTTTTGCTCTGTTTATATCAATTTTATCTAAACTTTTGTTTGCCATGCTAAAACAAAATCCAGCTTAAACCATCCTGGTCTGCTTTTTGGACACATAAATGGTTGGGCAGGGAAATCATTATAAACCAGGTAAGACCAGCAAATAATCATTTGCTGGATTAAGCTTTTCGTTTTTGTTTGTTTGTTTTTACAAGGCCAAAAAGATGTCTAATCTTACTAATTCAAAATTTAAATTTTCGTCATAATTATCTGGCTAACCATAAATTAATTAACATTATTTAACACACCCTTGAAAGAGTCAACTAGCTAGATTTTTACAATGAAAATGTGGAGTGAAAATAGTATACACTGCAAAAAGTGTCTTATTTTAAGACATTTTTATTATTTTTTATTAGTAATTTATTTTTCTGCACTGGATTGGTCTGCACTTGTTTTAGTTGTTTATACTTAAAACAAGTAAAAAAAAAAAATTTGCCAAAACTGCCAGACAATCATATTAACAAGTCTCCAATTAACAATTCGAAAACAAGTCTAAAAAACAAATGCAGTATTATGTACATTTATCTAATTTTTAGATATATTTTAACTGGAAAACAACACATATTCAAAAAAACTGGTTCAGAAATCATTGTTTTTAAAGTGTGGCTAACATTATGTGACGGTTGTGTAAATGTCAAGATTAAATGTTAGTAAGTATCCATGACATCTGAAGCTATTCGCACTGCCCTTTACTTCTCTTTGTGATATGATTGTTTTCAGTATTAGAGAGTCGACATGGCTGCCTCAGTGGATAAATGAACCTTTAGCGCTGTGACTCCAGATCGACTCCATTATAAAGCGCGTCTTATCAGACCTCATCTGGGAAGACGCTATTCACATCTGTACAAAGCTGCAGGCAATTCCAGTTTCATATTTTATTATAGTGATAAGGAAATGGACTGCAAATTCTCTCATAGAGAGAGAGAGAGAGAGAGCGTGGTTCAATAAGAAGGCAGATATATACTGCCAAGAGCTGTGCATGTCGCTGTGTTATTAGATGCATTTTGGAAAATGGAAAATGGAACGCATTTGCTTTCTATCCCAGCAAACAGCCCTGTGTGCATGTGTGAATATTAATATGAATCCATACGTTTATATCTTTGCCTTTTCACAGAAGCGCATCACCTCTCGCAGACTTAATCTCAGCTGTCGTCTTTGTCGGCTCATGGAGCGACGGTTTGATCATACAACGTCTGTCTGAATGACCCCAGGAGACCTGCTGCGAAGAGATTATTCCTTCCCACCACATGAGACGGCATGTGTGTGTGTGTATTACATATGTGCATCAGTAATATTCTGACTCTAATGCACTTTTGCACCAGGAGCTTTTAGTTTGGATTTGAGTCTGTTTGACGTCAGAATTTAGTTGAAAGCGTCCAAGCATTCTCATCTGCGATTCTGGCTAAAATTATTATTTTTTCTCTGTCAAACTCACGTTCAAGCCATGCGGGCTGTAAAGCGGGTTTCCCCGCAGACCGTCGCTGTAACCCAACGACTGACCGATGGCGTGACGTATGGAGTCTCCCTGCAGAGAGAAAGACAAGAGATTCAGCATAAGAGAGTCATGAACCACTGTACACCATTAAAACCATATTTAATCAGAAATAAGAATATGTAAGAATATTTCACAGTATTACTGTTTTTACTGTATTTTGGATCAAACAAATGCAGCCTTGGTGAGCAGAAGAGACGTCTTTCAAAAAAATATAATTATTTGATCTATTGTGATTGTTTATATATTTTGTATATCTATATTTTGGCTGGTGTGTGTGATACCTGTGTCTGTCCTGTGTTGGGGACGTGGGCCGGCTGGTAGGATCCGTTCAGACCAGACATGCTCATAAACATGTCTCCTGAACCCGGCAAACTATACGAACCTGAAGAACCTGAAGAGACACGGAGAGAAACAGAAACAGTGAGTCTGTGAAGATGATCAGTGACGTTAGGTCTAAGAAAAGCTGCATTATTTGTTTGCAGATGCCACTTGCTTTGATATTTTTATCTGTGATGTCAAGGAATTCTGCCTGTTAAAATAATTATCCAAATGTTCTTTTGGGCCACTGTATACGCACATACATAAACACACAAAGCTGAACAGTGAGGGAGAGTTGAATGGGAAGAACAGCACACAGAGAGAGGAAGTTCACGGGAATTCTAACAAATCATCACAGGAAGTGTACAAGTCCAGGGCTATTATAGCTCATGAAAACTAAAACCACACACACAAAAAAAAATTTATAATAATAATAAATAAAATAAATAAAAACTTTATAGACATATTTAAAAAAGAAAAAGAATAAAAATGACAAAAACACAACAAAATTACTCAATTAAAGTGAAAATAGAAAACAGACTAAAAAATAATTAAAAATATGAATAAAACTATCATAGTATCTCAAATGACACTAAAACATTAAACACCATAACATACCAGTGAACATGTTGTTTAACAGATTATTTTTATCTTCTGCCACATCCAACTGAAAGTCTTCATCTTTCATCTGAAAGCCTGTAGAGAAAATCACAGTACTGAACTCTTTTAAACTCTTTAATGACTTCTTTCAAAAATGCATGTTCATGACCAAATAATCACACTAGCTCAGCTCTGCAATAAAAGAGACCGGGGCTAGTTGTCACACTTTCTATTCTTTTGTCTACATTTCCACTAGTAAACATGATACAGTTAATTTAACACCCCTATATGTCCCCTATAGCAGGACATGTTGTCACAACGGGTTACTTAGGTCATTTCCCTGATGATGACTGGCTATTAATTTAAGAATGATAACTGTTTTGGGCGACAAACATTGATATTTGAAACCAGTGCTGAAGAAAACTATTGGACTCAAAACATCATAGTTGTTGAGATATAGCCTTTGTGACAACTAGCCCCGGTGGTCTCGTTCATAGTGTGTGTACCAGAGCTGGGCGTTGCGGGCGAGTTGGTCTGGCTGTTCTGTACAGCGGCCGCCACGGCCTGAGTCGCCGTCACTGCCGTCTTCGCTGCGTACAGATTCGCCTCTTCCTGGAATTTACCGATGTTCTTCTTATAGCGAATACGTTTATTACCAAACCAGTTCGAAACCTGAGAGAGAGAGGCAAATGAGGGAAATATTATAAAAATATGATATTATACTTCATAAAATATTATTATGAATTATATATTTTTACCCAAAAATCTAAAGAATTTTTTTTTATAAAGATAATTAAGTCTCTCGAAGGACCAATAATACTTTTGTATTGCAGCATTCTTTTATTTAAATTAATCACATTTTCCCCCCACAATGAAAAATAAATAGACAGAGGCTAATGTGGATGAATTTCATTAGGAAATATTATAAAAATATTATAATGTACATTTTAAAATATTATAAAAAAAATTTCACCTAAAAACCTAAATAAATATATGATATATTTGCATAAAGATAATTTTTATTTTAATTAATCCCATTTTCCCCCATAATGAAAAAGTAAGAGGGTGAGGCAAATGTGGTTGAATCTCATGAGAAAATATTATAAAAAATATTATAATATACATTATAAAATGTTATAAAAATATTTTTACCCCAAAATCAAAAAAAGAAATTACATTTTGCATGAAGAGAAAGATACCTCTTTAACGAGTTGGACCTTTACCATTTTTGTATTGTGGCATTATTTTATTTAAAATTAACTACATTTCCCCTTCCCTAATGAGAACGAAAGAGAGAAATTATAGAAATATTATAATATGCATCATAAAATATTATATCCGTTTTTTACCTCAATGAATTTTGACATTATTTTAATTCATCACACCCTCTCATATTGGAAAAAAAAACTTTTATATAATTCATAAAGTCCAATGAAATATGAGCTGCAAGCCAAACGTTCATGGCTTGTTGGAAAAATGCATGCATTTTTATGTTTCACAGCGACTGTTATTCTCACACATTTGTAAGACATTGTAAATGAACCAACCTTTTGCAAAAGAACATTAACGTTGCTACAAACCCAGACATATTAAAATTACATCCACCCCGAGCAATGACTCCTTCATAAAATATCTCCAAACAGGCCTTAAACTGCCAATGGGAGGCGGAATAGTTCAAGAAGCGCTATAAAAACTGATGTCATAATCTCAGGATCCAATAAAAGACAGCCGGAAGACACCATCCAAGTGCAGGAAAGCATGTAACTCTCAGTAGCGGTGAGGAAATGTATGCATGGTTGGCTGAGTGTGTGTGTCTTATGGCCATAAAGACTAATTCCAGCTGCTGGATAAATGACTATATGATGCATCGACTGTTGTTCAGCACACAGAGACACGGCTGCCACTGCAACCAACATCGACAGACAACACAGCGGACGGACGAATGCTTTAGTGACATACCTGTGACACAGTGATGGTGCTTCCCTTCCCCTGAGGGCACAAAAAGAAGGGGCTTTTTTACAGTAACGACTTCGTGTACACACCCACCCGTTACACAAACATAAAACAGGCTGATTATTCATAATGTGTGTCCATCTCAGTCGAGCGCAACAGTCCGTTCTGGAAGTAAAAATGCCCTTCAGAGAGATTTTTTTTGTGGACTTTTCATGAGTTTCCATGAGCTCTGAGGTTGTTATTGATTCTGCATTGGGGAAAAAAATTAAATAATAATATATATATATATATATATATATAAATGAAATGTTATGCATAAATAAGTTAAACTAAGTGAAAATGAAATATGTTTAAGTTGAAGTACTAAAATTACTGAAATAAAAATAGAATATATTGTTTTTAAACAAACTAATAAAAAAGACAAAAGCCAATAACAAAATTACTTAAAAAAAACTAAAAAGTATAAAAGAAAATAATAATAAATAATCATAATAAAAACTACTTTAAACCAAAATTTATGTAAAAATAAGTGAAAAATATTTAGAATTAAAAATTTTTTGAAATGACAAGCATATCAAAGAACTAAAACTTTAACTAAAATTAAAATGAAAACTGAAAATATCAAACTAAAAACTAATTCAAACTGAAAACTAAAAAAAATATTTAAATGAAAAAGAAAAAAAGAAAAATGACAAAAGCACATAAATAACTAAACATTAAACAAAAAAAAGCTAATTCAAAACACTAAGAAAATACTATAATAGTATATAAATAATGTTAAAATAAAACTGTCTACCAGTCTCATGCAACTAATGTACAGTTCATTTTATGTGTCAATTAGCGGTGGATTTTATCAGAAAAATTTGACTTTATGATTTGAATTATCTGACCAAAAGTAATGACTACTAATTAGTTCAATAAACAGAGAATATACAATTCTGCACACAGATATCTAATAGTTTACTTGCGACTAATGTTAACTTGCTCAGGGGTGTGCGGACTCAGGCTGAGACTAACTAGGTACCTACTTAATGTTAGTTAATATGGAAAATTGTAGCATTGGAGCATGAAAGACTGTAGTTGTGTTAAAGGGGTCATATGATGTTGCTAAAAAGAACATTATTTTGTGTATTTGGTGTAAGGAAATGTGTTTATGTGGTTTAAGGTTAAAAAAACACATTATTTTCCACATACTGTACATTATTGTTTCTCCTCTAGCCCCGTCTTTCTGAAATGCGTAGATTTTTACAAAGCTCATCGGTCTGAAAAGCGAGCTGTGCTGTGATTGGCCAGCTATCCAGTGCGTTGTGATTGGCCGAATACCTGAAGCGTGTGACGGAAATGTTACGCCCCTTACCATACTGTGATGCCGTCTCCCGGCATGGCGAGAAAAAAACATTAAAACCCATTACAAACGAGGCATTTGTTGCATCCAGTGGGGACATAATTACTGATTATAATGACTTATACTGTCTTTTTACGCGTTGCGTTGCGTATCGCGCAGCGTAAACATAAAACCGTGTCTGCATTTCTGATTGGAGAAACGACAAACAACAAGCGCTACTCGCGTTTGAATCGTCAGTAGCAAATTCTTTAAATATAAAAAACGTACTTACAGGCTATGAGTCAGAAGCGCCAGACTGTCCTTGCAAAGTTGGAACTGCCCCACTTTATAGAACAGCCTTTGAGCACAGACCCATTGTATGCAACTCTGCACGTTCAGGAAGCAGTCTTCCATAAAATGCGTCACACAGCGTCACACATGGAGGGCTTGAGTGAGCAGAGGCGGGTGGCCTTGAGAACGGCGCGGCCGGTGGATTCGACGAAGGAGCGTCCGGCAGGCGTGCGGCAACCACATGTGACGACCCCGAGCTGGACTCCGCTTCGTCCACGGTGAAAGCCGATCCGGTGATCCACAGCGCGAAGTTGAAGTATTTCCTCAGCGACCAGCACGGATCAGCTCCAGGCATGACGAAGCAGATATCGTTGCGTGAACATTTGTGCGTCGTTATGCAAATCTTCCCACATAGTGAGGTAGATATGTGGGGGCGTGTTAGAATGAGCCATTTTAGGTAGGCGTGGTTGACTCTTAACTTTTATAAAGAATATCTCTTTGGATTTGAGACTTTAATCTTTGCAACTTTACAGATCTTATTTATGCACCAAGAGCTTGTAACACTCCAAAGATAAAGGAAAAATTTAAATCGCATCACATGACCCCTTTAACAACCAACTGAACTGATTCAGTTGTTTGCAATTCTTTATGGTGGTAGCTCTTTAATTCCCGCAAAAGTAAATTTTTGCACATTTTTACACAAAACCAGACCTTTTGTCATTCGATTTTCACACATGGTTTTGCAAAACAAATCTTGCGATGTTGTGAGCCTTCTACTAAACTCGATTTGAGCTTTATTGAGAAACTTTCTGAAAGAAAATCAATGGGAAAAATACTTCCAGGATCCATGCGGCAGAAAACTGGGCGCTCACTGTTGCGTTTTAAATCACTTCGCACACACTCATGTTGAGATGTTACTGTTACTGAGCCAAATTCTCTGCACCTTCACAGTGTCACAGACCACCTTTAACAAATTTGTTAGTTATTTTGCTCAGATTGTGAATAAAGTCTCCTTGTTTGACTGCTGAAGGCTCGTGTGCGCAGTATCGTCCGAGATCTGGACTGACCTGTGACACAGTGATGGCACACTTCTTGGCCAGCTCCTCTTTGGCCTCCTCGCTGGGATACGGGTTACTGAGGTGAGAGTAGAAATACTCGTTCAGAATCTCTGTCGCCTGCTTGCTGAAGTTGCGCCTTTTCCTCCTGGAGAAAGAGGAATCATGAGGACTGATAGATCCTCAACCATTTCAATATCTTGACATACTATTAAAGGTTATTATAGGTGAAGTGTGTATTTCCACAAGCAACATCACTGCAAAAAATGGCTTTCTTCCTCTGTATTTTTGTCTGATTTTCCAATACAAATATCTAAATATCTTAAATCAATATACAAGTACTTGATGAGCAAAATGACAAAAGATATTGAGTCTAGCTTTAAAAAAAACAAACATCAAAATTAAGTTAAGTGTATGGTTAAAACGAGAAAAACATCTGCCAACGGGGTCAGAAAAATATTCTTGTTTTCCCTTTGAATTAAGTTTATTTTTCTGACCCCCCTGGCAGATAATTTTCCTGTTTTATGCATAAACTCATTTAACCCTTTACTTAATTTGATCATAGGCCTCAGCTTTTGAGGGAAAAAAACATTATTTGCGAATAATTTTGGCAATGTTCACTCAAAAACTGAGTAGCATAAGCTTAGACCGATGAAGGCTACGGTCAATCAGATCCAAAAACAAATACAAAACCTGCATGTGCTAACTGAAAGAAAAAAAAATTGAATCCAATATTTGGTAAAAATATAGCATGATGACAGATTTATAAGCATTTTTTTAGGCTAGGCATTTCTTACTGAGAACACCACAGGTGTAACAAAGACATAAGATAAAAATGCATGCATTAAAATATGAATAAAAACTACAATAGTATATAAATAATACTGAACACCTTTTCAATTTAAATGAGGTGTATTAAAGATTCCACCGTATTCACATAATGAAACATATACTGGCAAAATGCAAGCATTAAATGTTATGCAAGATAAAAAATCTTAAAAAAAATCTAAAACCAAAATAAAAACATAAATAGTAATATAAAAATAAAACTGACAAAATCAAATAACAAAATTACTAAATAAAACAAAACAGAATTATTAGCCCAGATAATATAATTAGCCCAGAAAAAAAACACACCAAAAAGATTTATCAAATTAACTAGCATTTTCAGGAAAAAGAAAATATTTTCTGGCTCAAAATGACTGAAACACAACATTAAGGTAAAAAATGTTTAGATATCTGTACTAGAAAACAAACAAAATGGTCAAGTAAAAAAATTTACAAATTGTTTTCATTGGTTTATCTGATCAGCATGATCCAACGATCCCCTGCTGGTAGATGCAATAACTATACCACAACACATAAAGTATCAATTATTGCATCTATATATTATTGGGTATATATTATAGGTGAGACAACTATTAGGTTGTATCCAATAAACAGTCCCTGATGTGGCATAAAAGCTTATTTTTAGGCCACTTGTTTGCTTAAAACAATGAGACTAGATTAAATCTGACTTTAGAAGCCAATCTCTCACTCTTTCTTTATGATGTCAACACTGAGCCCACCAATCGCTGTCTGCTTCATTTGCATTCCATCAGCTGAATAACTTTCTGATGAGCAGATTTGTGCATAATTTACTCTTTGATTTAAGTAACTCGTGCCCTTGCAAGCCAACCGGCACTAATTGGCAAATTTCCTTCTGCCAGTTTAAGAAAAGCACTCACAAGACCTTAAAATATTACCACATCACCCACTCGTTCACACACGCCTCGCTCTCAGCACACCCAATACACTCAGAAACAAACCCACACTCGCAAAAACACCTACATGTGTAAAAACACGGACTCACCATCAATAACAATTAGTCTTTATTAACAAATGCTGTTTTATCTAAAGCTAGTTGCATATGAACGTGTTTTTGGTGCAAAACAACTGAGCCACAGAAGTTGCAAACTTGTAGATTTTTTTCTCTTTCCCACAAACAACACAACAGTTACACCTTCTCGAATCCTTCACTGCAGGTGCACAAATCCTATTGTACGAATCACAAATCAAGAAACTCGTACGCTCTCATGTTTTGCTACTATTGTTGCAGTGTGTTATTAGTAGGACAGTCTCTCTGGGGATCATTTAAGCTCTCAAAATGATGTTTGAAGTCACTAAACAGTTTTGAGCTTTGTATTTTAGAGCAGAAACATGGAGCTTATTCACTAACCACTTGCAATCCAACTTAACCAAGCATTATCTATGCAAAATCTATGTATATGAGGTGTATTATATAGATTGCACCTTATTCACAAAAGCAAACACATTTACAGGAAAAATGCATGCATTAAATGTTATGCAAGATATTTCAGGAAAAAAAAAAACTAAAACTGAAACAAAATAATCCTAAATAGTCATATAAAAAAGAGAAAACTGACAAAAGCATACAACAAAATTACTACAAATTAAACTAAACTGAAAATCATGGGGGGGGGGGGGGGGGAAAAAAAAAAAAAAAAAAAAAAAAAAACAAAAAAAAAAAAAAAATAAAAAACCACACATACCAAGCATGAATATGACCCCTTAAGCTATTCAATAGTTATTCAAAATACATTCACAATAAATAAGGCATGATGGTTAAACATGTGGGTAAAAAAAAAAATTAAACCTAAATAGTAATATAAAAATGTGAAAACTGACAAAAGCACATAACAAAATTACTAAAAAAAAACTAAATTGAAAATATAAAAAATAGGCTAATTAAGAACATTAATAAAAACTATAAATCAAGCGTAGCATTAATTCTGGCAGGTCACGCTAGTCAAGCTCGCATCAGCTGACTCTCAGCTGATCCCCATCAACCTATGGGAATACGACACCTATCTAAGCATTCATATACAAGGTCCCGCAGTAGTATCAGCAGTTTTCGCATTGCTCAATAGCTAATTACCCTCCCCCATCCCCAGCTCCTCCTCTGTCAGTCGGGATTCAGCCTTCTGATTCTCCTTTGAATCAGACTAATTCTAAAATGTGTACATAACATTATTGAACTTTAACGATATCTGCATACATTTATGTTGGTTCTGTTCTGTTTACCCTGGGGGGTTATCGCTGCTCTCCCTGCTCTCATCCATGCTAGGCTGCATGGATGCGCAGGGAGTTCTTGCCCAGAACGGAACCATACCGCTAATCCAAACTGTATGCTAATTGTCAATTATCTTTGACGATAGTGGTCCTGAACTAATAATATATAAGTAATACTAAATACCATTTCTATTCAAATGAGGTGTATTATAGATTGCACCTTATTCAAGGAAGCACATATACTTTCAAAATGCATGCATTAAATGTTTTGATAAAAAAAAAACTAAAACTGAAATAAAAATAAATTAATCCTGTAATTAAAAACAGCAGAAAACTGACAAAAGCATATAACAAAATTAATAAACGTTAAACTGCAAATATTAAAATAAACGCTCATTCAACATATTAATAGCATGTAATACTATATAAGTTATATACTTAAAAATTCTAAACATAAATACTGGCAAGATGCAGGCAATACATGTTATGCAAGAGGTTTTGGATAGCATAGTCTGCCAAATGCATGACTGTGAATGTGTTTCTGACCTGGCGTCGAGGAAGCGGGACCTGAGGATCATGACGGCCTCGCAGGTGCTCTGCTTGAGCTGCATCTGGATGGAGCTGAATTTGCGGTGGATGATGTTGACCATGCGCTCGATCTCTTTGGGTGAGATGGGCCGCGTGCGAGACTGTTCCCTCAACAGGTTCATCACATGGGTAGTGAACTCATTGCACGCCTGTGGACCAATCAAATTACTCATAACTGATCATGCAAAGTCATTAACTAAAATTGACAGTACTAAAACATTTTTGGTAACTGAAATTAAGCTGAAAATTAAAATAGAAATATTCAATGAAAAACTTTGTAAGAAAATTAGAAATGCTGCATTTGCAACTAACTGAAACGTTTAAGTTGAATCACTAAAATGATTATCTGGAAATAAAATAAATGAATAAATAAATTAAATGTTATGTATTGTTTTGAATTAATTGTCTTGCTGTATGATAGTTTTCTATTTCTTGTAAAGCGACCTTGTAAAGTTCTTTAAAGTTACTATATAAATAAAAATTATTATTATTATTAAACCTAAATATAATGTTAAAAAAGAGAAAACAAATGCACATAACAAAATTACTAAAAATCAAACTAAACTGAAAATATAAAAATAAATGCTAATTCAAAGTGAAATTTAAATAATAATAGAATTTAAATAATATTAAAATTACACTACTCAATATGTGTATTTATGTGTTTTCAGTACACAAAATAATTTACTAACTTTGTGAAAAATGACAAAAAAGTGATAAGTAGCAAAATTACTAAAAATGAACTAAAACTAAAGCTATTAAAACATTTTTGTTATTTGAAATAAAGATGAAATAAAATAAAATCTAAATATTAGATGAAAAACTTTAACTAAATGAAAATGAGAAATGTTGCACCAAAATCACTATCTGTTAAAAAAAAGAAATAATAATAAAAAAATAAACCTACATAGTAATATTAAAAAAGCAGCAAAAAAGAAAAAAAGACAAGAGGACATAAAAAGTAATCTAAATTGAAAATTAAAATTAAAAGCTCATTCAAAATAAAAATTATAACCTATAATTATATATAAATAATACTAAAATAACACTACTCATTATGTATGTTTTCAATACATGAAATAAGTAACTATCTTAGCTATGTTTTTCCCAGGTACTTCAGATGTGTAGTGTAATTTTTCCAGTAACAAGCTACTTTTCAAAGCTGCAGTGCCAAGATGTCTGATTGATTTTAGTGATACTCATTTTTCTGATACAGCCGTATATTCCTGATGGATTGCGGGTTGTTCACAGGTGTACAGACCTGCTCGTATTTCTCCAGCTCGGTGTGGTAGATCTGTCTGATCTGGCTGAGTTTGGCTCTGTAGTCCGAGTGCTCAATGGCGTTATCAGCTCCCACTCCCACTGCTGCTGTTGCCGCAGCAACCGCTGCTGCCCCGCCCCCTTTCTCCGGTCCGGACACACCCTCTGCCAGCAGCATGTTATCCAGACGCATGAGCTGAGGATCCGAAGGATCTTCATCCTGACTGCCTCGGATACTGAGACCTGACACAACACAAACAGGAAAACAGGCCATTTAAATATAGATATGCAACAGACAAGAACTACATCTTAATATTCGGTTTGAAAAGGCTTGAAAAGGTTCATATACAGTATATATTCATTTGAAGTGGATCAAAAACGTTTGATCAAAGTTGTCCTAAAACCAAAACAATACCCGTTCTTGTCTTTGATGAAACTTCGATGAAAGGTTTTGCTGAAAGGCTTTGTTTATATAATACACACATATATTATATAAACAATTTTTTTTATTTTGGATGCGATTAATTGCGATTAATCATTGCTCAGCACTAATATATATATGGAATATATATATTATATATATATGGGGTGGAACGGTTCAACTTACTCACGGTTCGGTTTGTATCACGGTTTTAGAGTCACGGTTTCGGTATTAAAACTATACTGTCAAATAAAAATAAAGAAAATAAGAATAATCTATCTAACTTGTTACAAAAGCTATTCAATCAAGAGCATTGAGTGATTTCTTTGTTGTTGCTGTTTGATTAATATTAAGAATGTGCTGTCACTTTAAGAGAATGCACTGATCCAGTGCTGTTATAGGATACTTACCAAGACGGGCATTTTGACATAATTTTTGTGTGAATTTGTCCATTTAAACACAATACTTCAGAGAGAGCTTAATATTTGTGCGAGTTCTGAGGCGCGGGTTTACGCGCTTCGGATGAGTACACGCACAAATCTTCTCACTGCGCATGCGAGCTCACGTCCTCTGGCCCTTAAAGGGTTAGTTCACCCAAAAATTAAAATTAGGCTGCTTTTTACTCACCCCTGAGGCATTCTAGTATATGACTTTCTTCTTTCAGACGAATCCAGCCGGAGTTATATTAAAAATTGTCTTTGATCTTTCAAGCTCTATCATTGCAGTCAGTGGGTGTTGCATTGCTTCAGTCCAAAAGAAGTTAAATAAAAAGCACCCATGCATAAAAAAAGTGTCTCACACACACACACACACACACATATATATATATATATATATATATATACAGTCAGTAAGATTTTCAGCAAACCAACAAAGCTGCATATATTTGCATTTTTACAGTGCATTATTAAAATGCAATACAGCATTTTTTACAGTAAACTTTTCATTAAAAAAAAATCCTGAAAAAGACAAAGCATGCTTGCTGAATAAAAAAAGTATATTTGAATAATAATATTTATAGAATTAGAATGTCAGTATGAACTGGGTAAAGATTTAAAATGTCTTCTTATGTGTTTCACCAAAACAATTCCAGCACACTGGTTTGGAACAACATGAGGGTGAGTAAATGATGTTGAAATCCTATTTTTACAGGGGGGGAAAAAAGCATTCAGTTTAACTAGATATAAAAATGCAGAAATAAGATGAGCAATGTAGAAAATGTATTATGCCAAGAAAAAAAGGTGCGAGGAAGAGCTGGTGTAAAAACACATTCAGACATGCAAAGACAATTTCTTGAACACCTGGACCTCCCAAAGCAGGTTTCAGATAGCCGGTTATTTCTTCTTATCACTCCACAGTGAACAAGCGACTAGACAGGCCCACCGCAGAACTGCAAGCCCCTCACGTCCTCCATTAACACACGGCGCAGCACTAGTCTGCTATGACACGCTGTTTATCAGAGGTCGAGGTGTGTTTGTGCCAGCGCGGCTACAAGAGAATGATTGACAGTGGCAGGTCACTTCACTGAGGTGGGTGGAATAAAAGCGCCGTGAGCTGTTAAGATATGCTTCAGCGGCCTCCTTTAAAGGGGTCATATGATGTTGCTAAAAAGAACATTATGTTGTGTATTTGGTGTAATGCAATGTTTATGCAGTTTAAGGTTCATAAAACACATTATTTTCCACATAATGTACATTATTGTTGCTCCTCTATGCCCCGCCTTTCTGAAACGCGTAAATTTTTACAAAGTTCATCGTTCTGAAAAGCAAGGTGTATGCTGATTGGCCAGCTATCCAGTGCGTTGTGACTGGCCGAATACCTCAAGCGTGTGACGGAAATGTTACGCCCCTTAACATACTGTGATGCCGTGTCCCGGCGCGACAAGACAAAAACAATAAAACCCATTATAAACGAGGCATTTGTTGCATCCAGTGGGGACATAATTACTGATTATAATGACTTATACTGTCTTTTTACGCGTTGCGTTGCGTATCGCGCTGCGTAAACATAAAACCATTTCTGGAGAAACGACAAACAACAAGTGCTACTCTACACTGCTCAAAACTCACGTTTGAATCATCAGTGGCAAATTCTTTAAATATAAAAGTACTTACAGGCTGTGAGTCAGAAGCGCCAGACTGTCCTTGCAAAGTTGGAACTGCCCCACTTTATAGAAACAGACACCGGCATTGTAGGCTACTCTCACAGGAAACAGTCCTCATCCGCCGCAAAATGTGCTGCTGCACACATCTGAATATTTGGGTTGAAGTGTTCTGGAACAGTGTTGTAAATACAACTTAACCACTGATTTCTAGTTGTGTCCTCTTTTGGAAGACCAAACAAAGTAGTTTCGCTTTCACAACGAAACACACGGCAACAACGATACTACAGCGAGAATCAAAGTTACGCCTTCTTTCTTTGCGTGAACATTTGAGCGGCGTTATGCAAATCTTCCCACATAGTGATGTAGACATGTGGGGGCGTGTCAAGATAACATTTAAAGCAAAGCAGACAAAGGCAAACAACCGCAAGATGGAAGGAGTGAATATGAGAGAAAACATGAACATATGAACATTTGCTCTGCTCTGCTCTTAATCTCATTTCCGTTACATTTCGTTCCTTTTCTTTGGTGTCACTTTCATTTTTAATGGCAACAAAATAGTAAAGGTAGCCACATTCCCAATTCAGACCTCAGGCACAGAAATGCTAATTCAGCACAGAGCACATCTCATGAAATGCATCTCTCAGACAGAGGCTCTTAGTTTAAGCAGACATCTAATTAGTTAACGGTGACTGAATGGGATCGACAGAGAGGTGCATGTATATAGATAGAAGAATGTATTCATGACTGTAGTCGTGTTTGAATTATTCCATATATTTACATTTACATTTAGTAATTTAGCAGACGCTTTTATCCAAAGCGATTTACAAATGAGGACAATGGAAACAATCAGAATCAACAAAAGAGCAATGATACGCAAGTGCTATAAGTCTCAGTTAGCTTAATGTAGTACACATAGCAAGGTTTTTTTTAAATGATATAATAAATAGAAAGAAAACAGATAGAATAAGCTAGTGTTAGAGGCCTTTTTTGCTTTTGAAAAAGACATATAAGATATATGTCCATAGAAAACAGCTACTGTGGCGATATCATGGTTTAGTGATTATAGTATATCAGATGAAGAGATGTGCTGTCACTTTACAAATAATCAGAATTAAACATTTTCACCTTGTCAATGATAAATTGGGCAATATATTGAACCCAATTTATATATACAGTATATATATATATATATACTTAAAAAAATATTCCAATTCCAAATTATATAATACTTTTTAATCCTAAATACACACACACACATATTAATATTTATATATAATATAAATCATATATAAATATGAATATATATATATACTGTATATATATATATATATATGTGTGTGTGTGTGTGTGTGTGTGTGTGTGTGTATACTTGTACCAAATGCCTCCACAAGGATAGTAAAACCTGACATTTTTTACATTACATTTACACAAGGGAAAAAAATATTAAAAATAGTAAATGATGTTTATCTGAAAGTGTAACAATGCAAACAGGTTTTCTGTAAGGGCTAGGTTTAGGGTTAGGGGATAGAAAATAACGTTTGGTCAGAATAAAAGTAATAGAAGTCTATGGAAAGTCCCCACAAACGTGTGTGTGTGTGTGTGATGTATGTATATGTAAAACAAACTGGAAATTAAGCAGCAATTTTAAAAGCACACTCAACTCTACTTTAAATACAGTGTTACCAGTGTTATCAAACATAAAAACAATAGAGGTTGCTATGGTCCTGATCCTGTGTTTGCCTGTGTAACTAGATGCTGATGACAGACTGAGGTCTGATTGTGAGTAAACAGCTGTGTGCTGCTGAAGCGGCTGCCAATTGAACTTCTCCACCTGACACCTCACATCAGGCTCTCCACACAGGCTAATACTGTTTGTTTGGAGAAAACACAGATTTCTGTGCATGAGGACTGTACAATGATGCACGTATTATACATGTATGTATGCTTTTTGATTGTTTTAAAAAAAGGCATACTTTATTTTAGTGTCTTATTTAGGTTAATTAGACTTGATTGTCAAATCTAGAACCATATTTTATTATATATTATTACAATTTGGTACCAATCCTAAAAGGATCCATGTAAACAGCAAATAAGCTCCTACAAGATAAACTGAAAATCGAATTTGTTTAGAATTAAGGGTTTTATTAAGGGTTCCCTTTTAATTGGTTCTACATTTTTTAGATCTAATTAGAAATACATTAGCAGTCTTACAGGATTTTGAAAATGCCAATTTTGTACTTATTTACTTTTGATTTAATTAGGTGTAGGATATTATTTAAAGTGTATTTATATATATATATATATATATATATAAGAAAATATTGAATCCAAGATTATGTATTACATTTTAAAGGCTTTTTTCTCTGTGGTTGTTGCAGATTTTTCATGAACAAGCACCATTTTCTTCAAAAATTTTAATCATCTAGCCTTTTGTACTGAAAAAACTGCACAAGAAAACTTTTTCTTGAATCACGCCATATTAAAATGCTGTATATGAGGAGATGAATGGCAGGTTTTGGGCCTGTGGTGTGTTTTTATCAGAGGATTGCTGTAAATTAGGCAAGTCTGGTTAAAACCTCAGCTACCCTGGGAGAGATCTTACAGAATAAATCCCTGACCCCCATTACCTCACGCAACCTTTGTGATGTTTATGTCCTTTTGCAGGATCTACTGAATGCTGGAAGCTCCGACGGGTCACATGAGTTCAAGCACAAGTGC